CTACTTGAAGATTTGGCTTGTAAGAGGGAGCGCAAGAGCCCCAGAGACGAGTGGTCACTGCCAAAGACAAAAACTTACTTTCGAGGTTGATCTTCACGGGGGCCTCCAAGTGTTTTTGGCCCTTGTATGTGTGAGGACGAACCAGGTGGACCCCAGTGCCGATCTGGCAATCAGTGGCGATGTCCGCTGTGTTCCCTTCGCTCCTTAGTTTTAACTTATTAATGCAACGATCCACATCATCCTGGTTCAGACTTGACTGTTGTGACTGACAATACAAAACCGCCGCTGCATGACTGGCTCAGTCGGGTGTACCAGTTGCAGTACTGGGTTCGCAGTCCGGCAATTTCCACACTTCTTCGGTACGTAGCAGAAGCCTGTACCCTTTGGCGTGTGACGTCAAGTCTGGCACCTCGTGCGAAGGCTGTGGCACGTTGTCTCAATTCGTGATTGCATCTATGGTCGAGATGGAAATTGCAGCCAAAAAGCATCGTGAAGCTGCAAGACACATTTCGTTCCAGCCCGACTCGGCAGGTAGTAGATCTTCTTCGGAGTCAAAGAAGGAGCCGACGGAGCACTGGGGGATGCTGCGTCTTCGATCTCCAGAGTGTTTTCCAAGGGCAAATCCAGGAGCTGTCGCGGCCTGATTGGCATGCCCACTGAAGCTGCTGATCTGCGGGTGGCATCCAGCACAACCTTCAGGGCCAACAGCTTTTCCACGACTCAACTCACGGATTGAGTTCACTCAGGAGACTGGAAAGGGACAGAGACACTTCAGCCAAGAGGTGTAAGGAAACCTATCAAAAGACCAAACCTGGACTGCACGGGCCTCCCACTCAGAGGCCTTGACAATGCCAGTCTTCTCCGAGACCGGCTCCTGCTTCTCGATCTTCCCATCCGCAAGATCCAGAAACTTCGCAGAGCATGCTTTCAGTGCCGCCTTCTCATCGGGATCTGAATAGGGACGGCCGTGTTTTGATTTTAATTCTGCTGCTTGGAATCGGTTAGTAAATCGAGCCAGCAGGCATTAAGGCCATTAGGGCGAAAATCCCGGATTCCCCGCTCGGGCGGCCTTCGCCGCTCCTCCACTTTGCTGTTCAGCCACCTTTCCAGGGCCTCCATTCTTCAGTCCTGGGATCTAACGGGACAGGTGGCTTAGCGCCTGCTGGCTCGGCGTCTGGCGGTTCGGGTGCGTTTGCGGCTGGCGACTCGCGAACTGTGGTTCGTCGAGCCAGCAGGCATTAGTGAAAACGAGCGAGCAGGCACCTAAAGAAGGCCGTTATGTCTATTTAGAATCTTCCATTAGATTTTGTCCGTTAGATCCTTAATGCCTGCTGGCTCGTGCGTTTGCGGTTGGCGAGTCGCGGGTTGGAGTCGTGTCGAGCCAGCAGGAACTAGCGAGCCAGCAGGCAGTAACTAGCCAGCAGGCAGTAAGGCCATTAGGGGCAAATTCTGTCGAGCCAGCAGGCAGGCCCCGGCCATTAGAGCAGATTCCGTGCCTGGCCAGCCCAGCTCTGATCGGATCCCCAATTCATCTGATGCAGCCAAGACTCTCTCTGGACAGACTCGCGAAGTCGCCGGTCTGATATCCAAAGCACCTGAACGTCTTGGCTGCGGGAGCACCAGCACGAGCCGTCGTTGCACGATTCAAGTACCTCGGTTAGTGGACTGCATGTTCTTCTCAGTGACTCTGAAGGCAACATTCAAGAGGTTAGCAAGACATTCCGCACGGCTTCAGATTGGTGGCACACTCCTCATATCCGGCTGCTTGCCGATGGCATTCAGCACCCGAGCGGTGGGTGCCACACAACACTGTCGGCTGCCTCAAGTGGAAACATTGGCTCCCCACAAGGGTCCCGGTCTGCAGATATATGCTTCCTGAAAACAAACCTTCCATTTGAAAGCCAGGCAACACCACCTGGTGGGCAAAGGCACCCATGGCGAGAACCACCTTTTCGCAACCAGTGGCATCAACCGTGGCCTCAGAAGCAAAATTGGACCCAACTTGAAGAATCTGCTGCTGCGCTAGACAAGTCTTCTGCTTCGAGACAAGAGACGAGCGTCGACGGAGAATAAACATGCAGCTGCTTCGAGGCTGCTCCGTGACGGTATACATGCCACAGTTGAAGCACAGCTGCATCAGATTGGCCTCCCATTCCTCAGGTCGTATCTGCTAGTTGAGTCAAAAGCATGTGCATGCCAACTTATTCAGTCGAGCTTCGCAGGAGACATCACTTTGCCGAGGCTCTAGAAATCGTCGCCTCGGAGAAAGACAGACTTCTACGTCCAAGCACCAAGACTTATGAGGTGACGCTTGATAGGCAAAACCGAGACTCCCAGACTCTGCGGCCACCCGCTTCGGCGATCCCCAGCGAAGCCCTCCTCTGCGAAGTCGCAGCACATAGCCCAAACCTCGGATATGCAAAAAACTAACCTAACCATGTCCGGCTGAGTGTCTTCTTCTACGTGGAGCCAAGACAAACAAAAACTGATGAAGACAAGCTGACGGTCACTTTGTCCTGGTACGTGCTGTTGAGGCTCATCGTCCGAATGTGCAACTCAGACAAGAAGGCTTCAAGAAGGTATATTGCTTGCTGGCAAACATGAAACAACTGAAACTCGAAGCGACATAGAAGAAGCCAGGGCCAACTGCAGACAAGAAGCATTGCTGCATTCGTCGACCACACGATCTTTGCCAATACCATCGAAGCACAAGACAAATTCGAGGTTCCTCCGCGGGTGGTCCCAGGCCAAATAGTCGTCGTCCAGGGCCCAAGCATGCTCCTAGCGGATCATCAGGTGCATCAACACCGGAAGCCCACGACACACCTGCGAGTGTTCCATGGCGCCTGAAATCCCAGCTGAAGCCAAACACCTGCGAGACCAGAAGTTGCCAAGACCCAAGCAACAAACTTGCCTCAAAGTCTATTATTCTCTCACAGAAGACAAGGAGTTTAGCCAGCAGGCAAGAGTGAAGCAGCAGGCAATTCGAGCCAGCATGCAGAGCGAAAGCTTTGATTAATAATTAAGAATTGGGTGTTGAGGGATCCCTCCAAGCCCACACTCCTCAACTGTCCTTTACAAAAGCTCGTAAAAAAGCACCACAAGTAAAGTCGAAACGCCAAAGGCCCAAAGCGAAGAAACGGTCTCCGACCCTACAACCGACAGTCCCAAAACCATCTTGATGCTTAACAATATCGATTTGCGGCTGCTCGAAGACACTTTAGGTTGCCGGGTGGCAGGGACTCAAATCGGCGGAAACGCAGCAGCTCCAACAGGGGCGGTCTTAATCAAACCCCGTCCTGAGCTACGTGGCAACATACCACGGTTTAGGCTTTAGGGCGGGTTGCTCCCATTGCATGCACTTCTTCCCCTCACTTCACTGGCACTCCAACGCACCAGCTCGCCAGGCGTTGAGCACAAGTGCATCCAAACGGCACCTCGGCTGTGGAGTTGAAGCAGCAGACTAGCGAAAAGATATACTGGGCAGAATGAATCGTACCGAAACCCTGCGGAACCCCAAAACGCCAGATTCTGTGAGGTGGAGTGTTGGGCTTGAGAGGCGTTTAGGGTGAAAGATGAGTTGAGGCTTGGGTCTTTGAGGGTTGAAATCTGCAGCGTGGAGGGGTTAGGTTTAGTGGAGTTCGCAGATTGTGGTCTAAAGCTGCAGGTGAAAGGATTTGGGTGGAGTGGAGTTTTCGGTGGTATCCGCAAGCATGGCTTGACGGCACCGCCGCGTAGAATTGGATTCAGAGGCCGAAGCCCTCTGCGAAATGACGACCACTGCTGCTCCAACCCAACCAACCTTACAGGAGGTCCTTCACTTCAGGGGTTTAGGGTTTAAGGGTTTAGGGTTATTTGGGTATAGGTTTAGGGATCTCTTCTTCGTCACATGGACCGGAACTGCTCACGCGAATGCTGCTTGGCAGGCAATAGCTGCGCTGCGCTTAAGCATTCGGCCCCATTTTCTTGAACCTTGCACCCGTAAGCCTTAACCCCCACAGGCATTCAATACTACAATCCTGAACCGAAGGCTCCGAAAAATCCTGGTCCTAGACTCTGAATCCTTGAAGCTTCCAGATTGTTTGAAGCCCCGCCCCCCCCACCCCAAAAGGCCCCAACACGACATCTGCGCAAGGTTGCCCTGGGCAGGGTATTTGCTGAAGGCGCTGTCCTTTCACAGTTGGTTCCTGGCAGTCCCCCGGCTGAACTTTCGAGTGCCTAGGGGCCCAGCCAACAAAGAAGTTAGAGGTCATGGAGGTTACGACGTTCTAGAAGGATTAAGACGATGTGAGATGTGCGTGTAACTACATATATCTGTCCATCCATCTGTCTGTTTATCTATCTATCTATCTATCTATCTATCTCGCTGTCTCTTTCTCTCTCTCTCTCTCTCTCTCTCGCGCCCTTCGCCTCTGAATCTTACTGTTGTGATTCCAACCATGTTCCTACATCCATTAGTTTTTTGCTCCTGTCCGGCTTGGGCTCTTCTCAAGGTTGGACTGTTCAAAGAATTTCATGCAACATGGGAGCCAAGAGAAAGCTCGTAACGGAACCTATGCGGGAAGAAGGGAAAGACAGAGAAATACGCAACATTATATGAGTTCTACAGCTGGTTGCTTACATGCTGGCAAGTTCCAAAACTGCCTGAAGCCGTGCCCCCGAGCCATTTTGCAAGTCAATGCAACGCAATCGCGCACGAAGAGCTGCTGTCTGATACTAGAGCCCTGAACCTTCTCCGCTGTGGTATTGAGATGTCTCGGCTTCGGCATGTTGGTTTACTTTCTCGCCCAGAAGCCTCACTTCCTTGAGTCTATGAGGGCACTTTCGCTTAACATGAGGGCTTGGATAATTGCCAACACCGTTGCTTTGGGTTCCCCTGTTCTTGAATATACTTATAACCTAGTTATAAATGAACCCCCAAACACTAGTGTCTACTCATTAAAACCCCTACTCTATCAAAACCATCAAGGCCTTTATGTCAAAACGAGATCCAGGCGAAAATGAAGACACCTGCTGCAGCTCTTGGTGAGGAGCAGGCGGCCTGACCGAGGGTTAGGGTTTAGGGTCTACCTATAGTCTCCATTGTAGTTCCTTTTTTTGGTTTAACCAGTTATATATTAAGGATCCTATAAGGTAACCCAAAAAAGGAACTACAATGGAGACTATAGGTAGGGTTGCTGGCTGGAGCAGAAGTATCACTGACGCTTGCAGCAACACCACCTCAGAGCCCGGGTTCAAAAGAGTTGCTGGCTGGCACTCAGAACCCAGCTGCAACAGGGTGGGGTCCAGGGTTGAAGCTGTCCTAGAGTCTTGCGTTCTACACCCTAAATCTAAAACCCGGAAACCTAACCGCTTCCCAGATCTTGCAGACGGAAAAGGGATGTTACAACAAAACCTAAACCCTAAGCCGTAATTCCTCAACCCCTAAACCCCTGCCCCGACCTCACAAAGACTCCGAAGGCACCCGAAACGAAGACGAAGGAGGCGACTGGAGCGGAGAACACGCCTGCTCAAGGTGGCGGCTGCTGGAGGGTCGGAGCTTTCTACTTAAAAGGGGACCCCCCCAAGTGCCCTTTAATGGAGCTTTTATGGTCCTTAATAGTGTTTGGGGTATATTCGATAGTAATTAGTTGACGAGGTTTAGGCAAGGGCTTGTAAAGGTTCCTTTAATTTGATATAGGGGCCTTAAGAATTACCTATACTTTTTTGGGGGCTCCTTACTATAACTATAGTATAATGGGCCCCAAAACCCTGTTCTAATTATTAAGGCCGCTGCAGTCTCGAATTCGGTTTGTGCTAGCGGTACGTCCTGACTGGGACTTATCACCGTGCGAAGAGGAAGACGGCCCCTAGAGTAAACAGCAAATACCCTTTGATCTAGAGCACCTGGCCATTTGTTGGGAACAAGTCCGAGAGACGCGTCGGATATAGGAAGCTTGCGAAGTAGCAGCACCATCCCTCCATGATACCGCCGCATATGTTGGCAATGTGCACCCTGAACCCGATGCCAAGTGCTTTTTGATTTTTTATCCCGAGTTCGAAAGTTGCTTGTCTCTCAGCTCTGGCTACAATGACTACAAGCCACTTTGCCAAACAGCTTGTGGCGGTTCGGCCGGGTATCTTCATCCTTTAACTTGCTGCAACAGCCCTCAAGAGCCCTAAACCCTAAACCGAGTATATGACTGAAAAGCCGAAAACGTACGAACCTTAAACAGAGGCATCCAGGCTCATCACATCATTAGGTCCCCAAAAGGTCGAAGCAAACGCTACGGAAAACACATCCGCCCTTCGGTAAACCCTCTGGGTCCGCCAGGGTTTAGGATTTAAGTTTCCGGGTCTAGGCCCTAAACCCTAAACCGCCAGAGTCTAGGCTCTAGGGGCCACAAGTCAGCCACTGCCAGATTTGGAAGAAGCTGCAACGTCACCACCTTCTGTGCCGGCCACTGAGACGCTTGGTGAACTTGGGAGTCCCTTAATCGCCCCGACTTTCTGCATGACTTAACAGCAGAAGCCAGAAAGTTGGAATACCATGATCGTAACCCCTTTAAGGTAAATTATAGGGGATCCTACCATTAATCCATATTCCAACTTTCTGGAGTTCCCCTTATCGTCCTGCATTTGTATCTGAGAGTTACTGTCCACAAGACGCCCACACCGAGTCAAGGATACCGCCTGAGCCGCGGCTGTATCCGCCAGATGTGGGTGGGAATGCTGTGTATCTCAGCTCTCGGCAGTCGTCCATGTTTCATAGGTTTTAGGGTAATATAGTGGCCTAAATACTTACCAATACTATTTTGGGGGTTCCTTCTTATAAGTATAGTATACTGGGCCCAAAAACCCGATGCGATTTGTTAACGCCCTTCTTGTAGTCGGCTTTCCAGTTCGGCGCTGGGCCTTCGAATGTTCCGTTTCTCCCACTTGGAGGTTCATGGGTAGTTATAAGTGAGGTTATAAGTAGGGCAACTATTATAGTGATAAGTCCCCTAATAGGGCTTATACCTATAATAGGTATAAGCCCTATTAGGGGACTTATAACCCCAGTTATAAGTACCCCTGAACCTCCAAGCAGTAGATATTGCGTGGCTCGACTCTGAGCCCTAAATGCGACACCCTATCCCAGAAGGTGGTTTAGGGTTTAGGGTTTAGGGTTTAGGGTCAGGGCGTTTGTGGCGGCGTCTGCGGTGTTGTGGTGCATGCTGGCCCTGGGAGTGTGCTAAGTGCTTCTCAAGTAGTACAGATCCTGGCAGAGATATCCTTGAAACAGCGAACGCGGCTCTTCGGGATCTGGGCTACGGCAGACGAGAAGAGTCTGGCAAAACCCCTACTGAGCTCATAGTGCGATACTGCACAGCCTCAGCTTTCACAAGGAAGGAATAGCTCCAAGTCTATGAAGGCCCTTATATTACACCCTTGACCTCATACCCTAAAGCCCTGCAGTGACAAACCCATGAGATGGCTGAACCGCCGGGCTAGCAAGCTTTAGCTGCAGATCAAGAATCTTCTTACCCTAAACCGCAAACCCCTACAGCCTGAACCCTGAACCCTAAACTAAACCCCTAAAGCCTGAACTTCGGTCCTTCACCCCTGGATGCTTCATGTACACTCCCCAGCACATAGACTTTGCATGTGGACGTAGGGTTTAGGGCTTAAGGTTCCCAAACCCTTGAGGTTTAGGTTTACCTTTGAACTTTAGGAAGCTCATGCTGCACAGGCGTCTGAATCAGCGGCAGCTAGCAGATAGCATTCCGTTTTCCCCAAACCCCTATAGTGTGAGCCTCGAAACCCTGTACAGTCAACCCCATTCCCTGCGAACCCATGGTCCGACTTAGTCCGAGCATCTAGGCCGCCATGTCGACCCCAAGCCATACCTACGGCTATTCCGGGTGGACGGTTTTCTGGTTAGGGTCTGTTTAGAAAGAAACCCCAAAGCATACCTAGGGTATCCTAGGGTACCCTAAGGTGTTCGTGGGTGTACTTATGTTTAGATGCTTACAGTAGTGTCTGTTATATAGTTAGAAAGGTAGGTGCCTTTACACAGGGCGTAGGGTACATTTCTATAGGTCACCTCTAGACCCTAAGCATCCCTAGCCTAAGCTCTAAACGCTAAACCACAATAGCCTTAAACGGAAAGCCCCTAAGCTCTAAACCCAATACCAGCCATGCAGAAGACAAAAAAAACAACAATACCGGAAAGTGGTCCTTGCATGTCGTTTGCCCTGCAACCTGGCCTTTTCAAACCGAACCAACCTCGCCTGCATTGTTCGAGTTGCAGGAGTCCAAGCCACAAAACCTAAACACTAAACCCTTTAAAGCCTAAACAGCGACCCTGCAATGCGGGCTTGGTCCTTGCTAAGTAGGAGGGAACAAAACAGCAACCCCGAACTAAGCCTAACTAGCTCGCCAAGGCACTTTCAGCCAAAGGACTTCCGCCAAGGCCTCGCCGCTGTGAAGCCCCCTGGGCCAAGAAAAACGGAGGGCACAGGGGCCTCAATAACTTGAATATAGGCGTAAGGGCCTCAGGGTTCCTTTAAGTGGCTCCTCTGAGATATTCCTGAATATCAGGGGAACCTAATTAGAATATAGCGGCCTCAGGACCCCTAGGGTTCCCGTTCTAAAAGAGTAACGATAGTCGGGGGCAGGGCATAGCGGCCTTAATCATGACAATAAAGGGCTGCAGGCCTGAGCTTGCTGTTCTTTAGGGGCTACTAGTATATAGGTGATGGCACGGAAAACGGAGGGCAAACAGCACACAGAGGGTCTTCCGGTTCATTAAGGGGGTTCCTCTGAAGGTTAGCAGCACAAGGGGTTTTTGGCAAAGGGGACCAGGGTCTTGGCGTATATGATAGTACGGCTATGAGGGAACTTCAAGGGAATACGGAATACTAGTTAGGTGTGGCATTAGCGTCTCATAGGTTTAGGGTGTAGGATGCAGGGTATTGGTTCATAACGGCCCTGTAATGGGTTAATGAGGTATTTGGGGGTTTCGCATGGGATTTGGCGTTCAAGGTATGGAGCTCTAGGGCTCTGGGGCTTGCAGGATTGCCGTGAATGGCACATGGGTGCTTGTCTGTTGGAGGCCAGCATAGGATGATTAGCTCGGGTAGTTACATGGATGTTTTGTAGCGTCAGGCTGTAGGAACCACAGATGGCTTCACGCTGAACCTTGAACCCCAATCTCTGAACCCCAACCCCAGACCCTGACCCTTATGACCCTTAACCCCAGGCCCCAAAACGCTAAACCCTGCCGTAAACCCAGATTGGCAAGCCCTAAGCCCGAAACCCCAGGGCCCAGCCCGTAATAGCCAAACAAAGATAAACCAGAAGCCATCCTGAGGCTTCTCTGGAGTCAAGCATGGAAAACGGCAGGCGCTGTTTTCGCTGTCGCAGGTTCAGGGTTGAGGGTTTTAAGGGTTAATCACAGTTTCGATTTGAAGATAGAAGCTACATGAAGGGTAGGGTTTTAAGGATCAGGCTTTAGGTTTGCAAGTCATGCTGTAGGGCACTTCTGGACGGCTTTCAGAGTGTGAGGCTAATTAAGGTTATCTACACCCCGCTGTACCGATTATTCAGATCTTTGATTTCTATTGCGCACGGTGGCACGGTGAAGGGGCTGCAGGGGGTTTAAGATTTTTCCCCACATCACTGTGTGGGGTTCTTACTTTGTGGGGCTGTCCCGCCTCCTCCTCCTCCTTCTCCTCCTCCTCCTCCCGCCCCCCTCCTCCTCATCCTCCTGCCTTCCTCCTCTGCACACACGCACTGTCATCACTGTCACTCATTGTCGCACTCACGACCCTGTGACACACACACACACACACACAGAGTCTACACTCGCACACCACACATGCACACATCACACACCCTGATCACACCCACGCACGGTGACGCAAGCACAGCTGCCGCACGAGGAAAACACACGGAGAGCCCTGCGCCTGGGCGGTCGCTACACACACACACAGACACACTACAGTCGCACACCACACATGCGCAAATGATAATTATACCTTGATCACACCCACGCACGCACTCACTCCGGGACTCACTCACTCGTTCACTCACACACTCATTTACTCCCTCACTCATTTACTCCTCGGCACCTTTAAGTGCTTTACGAACCGATAATCTTCACATGTGGGGTTTAATTTGAGGGCTTCAAGGTTTGCAGCCTTTATGTACTTATGTTCTTGGGGTTGGGAGCTTAAGGGTTTCAGGCTTTACTTTCTTAGATCTTCTTGGAACCATCCTCAGCCCATCTTAATACATAGGGCCTATAGGGTCTCCCTATGGCCAGGGCTTTGTTAGGTATTTGAGGTAGGATTCAGGTAGGATCGTTAAATGTGACCTGGTACTTGAGGTAGTATATACAGCATATACGCGGCGCATTAATTAAGTTAGGTACTTGGATCCGCTTGGATCCCCGAGGTGTGGGAGAAACAACTCCAAACGTGAACTGGCAAGAGACATCCCATGCTGCGAGTTCCAGCACGCTCTGAACACCGAAATCCCATGCAGCCTAGGCGCCCCAAACCCAATGCTGTATTTTGACATGTAACATGTACGTTCCCCCCCCCCCCCCGAAAATCCACAGCCGACAACGTAAAGCGTCAAGCCCGCACACGTCATTTACACTGAAAGTTCTCGACCCACGTCCTATCCTGCAAACAAACAAATCCAAGACATGTCCTTTGCAGCACCCAAAGCCCGAAGTCCCCGACCCACGCGGCCGTCAAAAGGCATTAATTAAGTCTCCCACCTCTGACTTGTGCGGTTCTTGGGGACGTCTTTGTGTTCGTTTTTGGGTTACGGTTGCCTTCGTGCGGGGCTCGAAAAAGAGAGCTTTTGCTTACCCTCTAACGTGAGTAAGGTAACCTTATTTCATCTGGCCTGTCATACTGTACTCGCACTCATACTAATGCGCATACAAACTACCACGACCTAGAACTGCGTTAACCTAGACAGCCTGTGCTTACGCTCGACAGGGGTAAGGGAGCCTTACTTCTAGCCTGTCATACTAAGACTCGTACTCATACTGATGCTCATACAAACTACCACGACCTAGAACTGTACTCACCTTACCTCGAACCTGCTTACTGCGCTCCTGGACGTTCCAAACAAGCCTTTGCAGAGGCTCGGTGGCTGCCTTTGACCGCTTGCCGGCTGCAGGGGCTCAGTCCAATCTTTGTTCGTGCTTTTTAGGGTTCAGGAATGCAGTTTGGGGGTGTTAAGGCTTTGAGTTAGGGTATATAGACTAGCGATTAGAATTGATTTTGGTCTGTTCCGAGCACGTGACACCCCAAGATCTGACTGAATCTACACGGCCGAGCCGCAAACCCAACCTGACAAGCCCTTGCACCAACACAGGCCGAAGGAATCCTAGCCCAAGCCTCTGAAAGAAGCCTTGTCGGCAACAAATTAGACCGCCTACTCCAGGATCCCAGCAATGCATCTGGCTAGAATTGCTTGAAAGATATAAGTATGTAGGCCTATGGAAGTCAGGTGACCGGTAAGATGGTCGCCATTCCATGATCCCTGGACGCATTGCCAAAGCCTTCGTGTTGAGGCACTAGAGTATGCGGCTTAACTTACAGCAGAGGCATTTACACAGCGGGAAGCCTTAAACCCCTGCCCCCTGAATCTCAAACGGGCTCCAGTATTGGACTCTTTAGGCAGTCTCACAGACCGTGCCTGCCAGGCCAATTCTTCGGGCGTGGGACGGGTGAGCAAACTTTGTGTGCCGTAACATGCTAAGGCCCTCTAAGGCCCTACATGTACAACACTTCAATCCCAGAGCCCTCTCGACCTTGCCCGCGTTTCAGAGGCACAGAGACTGAAATCCTGACCTACACATTAACCTACAAGAACCTGGTTTTCTATAGGGTCCCTGTAAATTTCATGTTAGAGTATTTATAATAAGAACCTACAAGCAAGTAGCTTTTGGTAGGTTAAGGCACCGCCACCCTAGACTTAGACCCTAAATCCCTACTTCAAGGTCTCCTGGCGGCCCTGGACCACCAAACTATGGAGAATAATTGCCTTTTACGGGTTTGGGGCCATTATTTCACCTACATCCTAACCCTAAACGCTAAACTTAGCCGCTAAACCCTACTTCAAGGTCTCTTGGCGGCCCTGACTCCACCGGCGCTCCCGGTCGCGAGGGCGCTGAGGCCCTCCCTGAAGCGAGGCGGGTGAAGGGCGAAGAGGGTTCTTTAAAAGCATTCTTTCGGGGTAGCTTCTGTAAGGGGTTTTAGGGTCTAGGCTTCCTGGCATATGCGTAGTCCAGGTGTACAAAGGTTCTTGCAAGGGTTTTTTAGAGGGTTCTTTAAAGGGTTCTTGCAAGGGTTCTTTGAAGGGTTCTTTAGAGGGTTTTTTAAAGGAATCTTTCGGGGTAGGTTGTTCCGTAATAGGGGCTTTGTTGAAGCGCTTTAGGATCTAGGTTTAGGGTTTCAAGGTTCTTGTGCTTCTCTTTTGCAACTTTTATCAACACACAGCGGTAATGCTCGTGTTCTCGCAAGTTCCTCTAACATGGAGTGCATGTGCGTTTTCCCTTTGATCTGGTGGTGTTTGCAGTGCGGTTTGCTATGGAAGCAAGCTGCTTTTGCACATACCTCTCCCCTCGTAAGCCTTGGCCTCAGCACGGGTTCAAAAAGGTTCTTGTGCTTTTGATTGGGGTTGAGGTTGAGTTTCGTGATTGTAGGCGGAGTTGGAGAAGCTCGACATGAAAGGTGTCGACCGTAGTATTTCGTCGACCTAAGAAGGGAGAACTATCCATATTTACTTAGATCCCCAATACCTAGCCTTTCAGCTTTTTGGGTTCATATGGTTTAGTAGAAATCGGAAAGTTTAACCTTTTGTTTCTGTGACATATTGGGGTAGTAAGTTTAACAACCCCCATCCCAGGCGCCGTCTTCGACTGTTCCCTGTCGGGGCCAGCCTGGGAGGAGCTGGACAAGCCCGGAACTCTGGATATCCCGGTTTGGGGGTTTAGGGGTCGAGGTCTAGTTACGGTTTAGGATTGCAAGGTTCAGGGCTTAATTTAAGGGGAAGTCGGAGGGAGGGATTCCACAATCTAGCTTCAATTTGTTGCATTTGTCTGTACAGTTACTCGCAGCGTGAACAGAAAACGAAAGACGGTGCTTGCCTACGAGGGGTTCTTGGCACATGTCGCGTGTATCTTATTCAGGAAGTGTTATCCGCGTGTTCATGCAGTGAGAATCACAACCGACTTGGGCCTGAGGCCCTGGCCATAGGCTCAACAACTAGGTTCCCGAGTAGTACGCTTTTTTGCCCTTTTGTTTTGGTGTCCCCTTATTAAACCCAATTGTAGCAAAAAGGGTACCCTTATTGTAAAGGGGCTACTCGGGAACTTAGAAAATATCCAAGATCCTAGGCGAAGGGCCTTGAACTTCAGTCCCTCGGCATCCCGAAGCTGTACACCCCATGATTCTGAGCCCTAAACCTTAAGCCGTAGACCTTAAGCTCTTACGCCCTAAGCCCGGCACGCACGAAGATTCGGGGGTTGGTTTACTTGGAGATTCCTGGGCAGTCATGAGTAGGGTTCAGTATAAGTGGTTTAACTATAGGTAGAAGCCCTATTAGGGGACTGATAACCCTACTTATAACTACCCACGAACCTGCAAGTAGGGATGGGAAGGATGGGAGTTGGGAGTGAGGAGGCCGAAAGCCCAAACTAGCCCCATACAAGAATTCAATGACCCAAAGTGCAATACCATACTACTATCCTGTACTTTGCTATACTATGATACAAGAAATACAATATGATACAATGTCAATACATGGTTTAGATAGTTTAAGATTAGGGACAACGTGTCTTTTCACCGGCAAGAGGCCGCACACAGAGCGCTAGGGGTTCTTCTGCCCAAATTGCCAAAATACAAAGAGCTGACATAGAGGAAGCCTTGCGGCCTATGTGTTCTGCGATGATGTCCCTGGGGTCGTATGGGAAACAGATTGATATTGAGGGAGGCTCTTGCATCATGGCATGAAGATGGCCGATCGGCCAGTGTGTGTAGGGGTCTGAAATATGTCGCAATATCCCCACAATCTACCCAACATCCTCTTCTGACCATAAAGGTTGCCGCAGTAATTACATCCGACGATCCAGTTCCAGTTGTTTCGGTCCCAGCTGGTCTACTTGCAGAGGATTCCATCTTTGTCGTTCGAGTTAAGGGCTTAGGGCTTAGGCCCGCTAGTACCAAGGGCACACGTCGCCTTGCGAAGTGACTCCAGAAAGCGAGTTTTGAAACGTCAGGCGGGCTTGGAATCCTGGGCACTGAACCCTAGACCCTACACCCGAAACCCTAAAACGCTAATTACACCCAAACCCTACAACCTAAACCCGAAACCGCTGAGCACTACGGCAAGAGCACAGCTGGGACCAGGTCAGACTCATCACCGTGTTATACGGGCCTCTCTAAATAACCATACTATTTCGAGGGTTCCTTTTTATAAATACAGTATATATAGTATAATGTATCCCGAAAACCTATTCCTTTTATTAAGGCCCCCCATATGAGTCCTTGACTCTCGAGCTTCTGGGCTGCGATCTTTGCTGGACTAATCTAGAGGCTTGACTAATCAGAATCTTATAGAAATTATGGAATCATGTAAATGGGATTCCAAGGGACTGTTATTGTATCCAGAACCTGATACTATGGATTATTTTGGAGTCGTGTGTTGCCAAGAGATGTATACGGATATGCTGAGCCAGTCCAGGTGGGCAGTTAGAGCGGATGCCGTCCTTCCTCGATCGAAAACGCCGGCGAGGGCACGGCGTCCCAAAGAGGCCGTCCGTGACAGAAGACAGAAGTTGGGTAAAGGTAGGGTTTAGGGTTTAGGATTGGAGGTGACGTAAGTAAGGTAAAGGGTGTGCTCGGCCCTGAACTCCCCCACTAGCGGCCGTGACCTCATACGCTCTCGAGCAATGCTGGGGTGCAGGGTACAGACAACGGCCGAAACGTCCTGAGTGATTTCGATTCGCACTTCTGATAGCAACGGCAGTCTTCGTCGTCGGCGTGGTCGTAGTACTGGGAGTTCTTTGTTGTTTATCTTCTGCATGTTCTTCTGGTTCTTGTCGATGTTGCTGCCGCTGATGCTGCCATGCTTCTTCTGTAGTCTCTTCAGGTTCTTGTCGATGTTGCTGCTGCTGATGCTGTTTGTCGTGTACTTCAGTGGCTGGTGAAGAGCCATCGCTTGGCTTGAGGTTCCGCAGCCTTGGGAGCACACTCTGCGGCCAGGAGCGGAAGTCAGTGCAGTGTGAGGCCACCCTAAACCCTGAAGCCCTTGAACCCAAAAGGCCGACGGCTTTCGGAAAATTGGGGGTACCTTATTTTGGGGGCCTTATAATAAGGATCCATCCTACTATTTAGGGTGCTATATATATATATATATATATATATACATATATATATATACACGTATGTATATATAAGGGTCCCCTATTTTCCGAAAAGAGCTGAGCTTGAAGAGTTTCTTTTCTTGTCAAGTCGTTAATCACTCCCGGGTTCACGACCAGATGACCTTTAAGAGCAGGGCCCCAGCACCCTTCTAAAGAAGAAGCCAGAAAGTTGGACAACATGGCTTTAGGAGGGTTCGTGCTAGGCTCCCTTGTAATTTACCAAAAGGGCATGAGGAGAATGATGTTCCATATTTCTGGCTTCTACTATACTATGAATATACTATATGGTTTGTGCGCACCTTAAGCCTTCAAGCCTTTTGGGATTCACTTCGTCTGTGTGGTGGTAAGACTTGTGTGCCGAACTACGCAGCTAAGAAGCCTCTGACCTGAAAGGCTCCTTACGAAGTCACAGGTCGTCAGTACATGAACCTACTCAGAGGTTCATGGGCCTATAAGGCCTGCACCCTACGGTTCATAATACAAATCCTGCACTACCCATAATAAGGAATATGCCAGAACTCCCGATGTGAGAGCCTTGCTCTCACAACTTGCGTGCTTAAGTTCACTGCTGTAGGTTGCAAGCTCTTGGCTGCAGCCTATCAGTATGTAGTTCAGCAGTGTTGCACACGGGACGCACGAGAGAGCTGCTAGACAAATGAAGCTTAGATCGTGCTTCTGAATCCGGCAACCCCCGCACAAAATATTAAACCCCAAACCGAATTCACAGTTTAGTGCGTAGAAAGCTAGAAAAGACGCGTGCTGAGCCTTCGGAAATTTCATTCGAGGATTCCAGGAAGAGCCCACAAGACTCACAAAGTTTGGCCGCCTCGCGTGGAGCAACGAAGCTGCAGAGCTTTAGAGACCCAAAACGTACATAATCATAAGCATTCTATAGGGATATCCCTACCTTATTGGGCTTCATTCTAAGGGGTTTATATGGGATATCCCTATCCTAATTTTTGCTCCTGTGCTTTCTTGTCCTTGTTATAACTGTAGTATGAAGGGCTCCAAAACCCTATTCTAATCATTAAGGCCCATATATATATATATATATATATATATATATTAATTATCTGGATTGAAATTTCCGAGCTGAGGCCCAAAACCCTACTATTGAAATGCAAAATTTCCATCGCCACTGTCTATTAGTTTTGCGAGGAGCAATGTTGGATGCTTGCATTAGGAGTCAGGAGGAGTGGTTGCTGTGACGGGCGGCCCGCTGTCGGTTCCACGACTCCCGCTGTGCTTCCACCGAAGCCCCCTGCTTTCTCTACGGTCTTGTGCGGGCCCGTCCCCCTAGACCCTTTTCACTGCGGAGTGCAGTGCGTCACATGTGAGATTTCGAGCCATTGCATGTTCGCAAGTCGTGGCAGGGGCACACTGTTCGCACTCTGGGGCTCGGTTTGGTTGGTTTTCGCACACGTTTTCCGCGTGGGATGTGAGGTTGCCACTTTTATCCTCGTCGTGCTTTTGCTATAGTCCCGGGTCCCTACGACAAGTCACGCTCCCACAAGTTCCGTGCGCTTGGCAGAAATCGAGCTTTCGCGAGTGTTCCGTATGCCTCTCGATTTGCAAACCATTGTGATCGCCACCTTGGACTTCGTTGGGTTCCGTCTGGCCACGGTGCCGTGAGTGTTTTTGGGATTGCCTCGTGCTCTTACCAGATTGAATGCCTTTCTTGGAGTGGGGTTAGAGAGTGTGGCCCAAAGCTTTCTGCCGAAACATCGCCGCTCAGCTCAGGCCGAGATTTCGCATCCATGGCTTTGACACCCTTGCATGACGAAGTCATCAAGCTCGATATCGTCCTGCAGGGCAAGGCCCCCAAATTTTACAAGCAAGGTATGAGGGCTTATGTCAGGGCTGCTTGTGGGTAGCTGAGGCATGGGAAGCATTGCCTTCTTCGAAGACCTGTTTGTCTTGGGTCGGGTGCCTTCGGGTTTCCGAGTTTGGTGTTGGCCTTTGCCTACCTTCGTAGTTAACTGAAAAGACGTCCTTGAGTTTTCGATTAAGTCAGGGGCATGATGCAATTATTAGTATTTGTATCAGTATCAGAATTCGTATTAGTAATTATTAGTACTCCGGTACTACTACTACTACTACTACTACTACTACTACTACTACTACTACTACTACTACTACTACTGCTACTGCTACTGCTACTGCTACTGCTACTACTACTACTACTACTACTACTACTACTACTACTACTACTACTACTACTACTACTACTACTTCCACTGCTACCACTACCACTACTGCCACTACCACTACCACTACCACTACCACTACCACTAGCACTACCACTACCACTAGCACTAGCACTACCACTACCACTACCACTACTACTACTACTACTACCACTACCACTACTACTACTACTACTACTGCTGCTACTACTATTACTACTCCTACTACTACTACTACTACTACTACTACTACTACTACTACTACTACTACTACTACTATTACTAGTACGTCTACTACTACTTTGTTGTTATTACTCTTGCAGCCCCCACATCCATCAAGCAGGCAGGTTTCTTGACTTCGAAGTTGAAGGTGCGACGTCTTAGGGTGGAGGCAACATGCGGGGTGGGGTGGGGTGAGCCCCATGGAGTTCACACGGGCGGGTGTCTGCGGGGCGTTTTTCGACTTTACACTTTCACATTCCAGCTCCTCATACAGACTGACGAAGGAGTGAATTATAATGAGAAACCCCCCGACAGAAGAACCCCACAAGGATATCTTGTGCATCCGTGGGTAGGTGTAGGAAGGGTTGCAGGCACGATTAGTCGGGAATGGGTAGTTGCCCAGAAAAAAAGCATCTAGAGTTTGCCGAGAGGATGCCTGTTACTGCATAACCCTTTCGTTTTTAGGGCGCAGCCCAGACCCCTCTGCCAATGTTTCGCACATCTGTAACAACTGGAAGCTGCTTGTAACACCGTGCATAAATCTTATAAAAACAAACTCTGAACCAGTTCTGAAACATTGCAACAGTGGCCATTTAACACTAGCAGCACTACCCCTGAACCCCTGGACCCGAAATTCCCAAATCTCAAGCCTGGTACATGGCTGCGTGCTCTCAGAATGGACATCAGGTCTGGATCGAAGTTCCAAGCGGTTTAGGGTTCAGGGCGTCCGAACGAAGTGGCTTTGGGATTGAGTTGTTTGTGTTTTAGGTTTAGGTATGGGGTGGAGCACCAAGAGGCCATGTCACCAAAGCATCAAGCCTAAACACCAAACCCTTTTCACAGCCCAGATAGAATGCCTTCTACGAACCCATAAATCCCTACACCCGTCTCATGTGTGAAAGCCTACACCATCACAGAGCGCGAGGAGCACAGCATGCGATACCGGAACTGGTTCCAGAAGCGGCAGGCGCATGGGAAGGGCCGGAACGTTGGATTCAGGCCGCTCTACATGTGTTTTAGACTGGCGTATAGTATGATATGTCGTTTATGGAGTTTCATGCATTTTCGGCATTCACTCGTGGCCGTGCCTGGCAAGGTTCGGGCAAACGTCTGAGCTGAAACATGCAGAGAATTGCGTCTAGCGTGTGCGGATAGCAATTATCAATGACATCATTGGACCTCGAGTGCGGTGCTTCTCGCCCCATAAACCCCAAACCCTTTGAATCCTGCACCTTTGTAAGCCCTTTGAACCCCAAACCCCTCAAGCCTCAAACCTTTCGCGCCAAAAGGCCGCCCAGCATCGATGGGCTGAGAAAGAGGCGCAGAAACTCCATGGCACCAGGCGCGCGTGCAGGAAATTCAACGTTGGTTTTCTTTTAGGGCTTCAAGAGGCTTGGGGGGGGGTTAGGCGTGTCGTTGCTAAATCCTATATAAACCACCCTAAGCTCTAAGCCCTAAACCCTAAGAGAACAAACTTGGGGATCTGGGTTCGAAAATTCTGCTTTTGGGGATGCGGGAGTTGCGGTAGAACTTTGCAGGGGTCCGAAGGTCCAGCGAGAGAAGCCCTAGACCCCACATCCCTGGCTCAAGAGTATGGATAGTAATGGCCTTTCTATAGGTATTGGGCCATTATTCTACCAATTTTGGGGGGTTTAGGTATGCAAAAGTGACTAAGAGGCTTGAAGTTTTCTCGAGGTTGGCGTTTGCTTGCTTTGCTCCACTCTGACATACGCCTGTGGCCATGCAGAGCTACCACAAGAGGCTTGAATAAATCGGTTACATCATGTTACATCAACATCCCCTAGAGTCCCTATCGAGTCCCTGAATATTATCCAGCCTGTTCCATTTACTCACACCTCGATATGACAAGCCCTTGCCAATTAATTCTGGCAGCCTCTGGCACTTATTTCAGGAGAGTACCCAGACATCAGGATTTTGGGGTTTAAGGCTTAATGTTTGAATGCCTAGACGGGTCAGAAGGTCAACAACTGCATGTGTAGCATATGTATCTAACTTGATACACAGTTGTTTCGAAATATGTATGCGGGCATGAGCAAGGTCACTTGCGTGTAGGTAGTTGTATCAGCAGAATTCGCACCACCCCAATCTCTACGACTCTACATGTGCATTTCAGAAAATCGCCAAGTAGAGTGAGGTGGGTTCACTCTCGGAGTCGGTAAGTACCACTGAATCCATACCTCCTCACGGTTCCTTAATACAACTACACTATGGTAGACCCCAAACCCTGATTCTATTTATGAAGGCCCTGATACTACACGGGTATCGACCCTGACAAGGCTGTGGCAGACTGACTGCCCCAAGTGGGTGTGGAAGCCGCTCCCAGCAAAGGTGGTGCGTCTGGACTTCCGGGGTGACTTCGAGTTTCATGGGTTTACACGGTGTAAACTCTAAACTGTAGGCCCCGAAAGCCCTCAAGCCTAGGCACTAAACCGTACACAGACAGGGTGCCGCAAGGGTCTCATATGGTTTAGGTAGCTCTACAAATTAGGATCCCGATTTAGGATGTTAAACAGGACCCTGAAAAAGACCCTAATGACCCAATGTGGAGAACTGCCCATGTTTTATGAAGCTGGCTCCTAAACCCTTTTACATCTAAGCACTGGCTCCAGAGGCTCGACGCCCAATTTACAAAAGGCCATGGGTCTTAGGACGGAGGTGGTATATAGGCCCTATAAACCCTGAACCCTAAATCATAAACTAGGTTTAGGGCTTGTAGTTCGGGGGCTACGTACCCCGGATAAATCCCAACTCGGTCCTGTTTGGGCCCTCGGTTCTGCAGGACCTCCCGACAAGAAGGCAAGCGATCATCGCGGACAGGTGGCCCTTGAGCAATTTTCAGCCCTACAGTAGAAGCCCAAAAGTTGGAAACCCAGTAGCCTCAATCCTTAAGAGTAATATATAGGGAATCCCAGCACTATTTGGCCTTAAACCTGTCTCCAACTCCAAAATTATAGAACCCTAGTATAGATCCCTAATAGACCCTTTTAAGGAACCCCCAAAATCCGGTTTCCAACTTTATGGGGTTTACTGTAGACGCTTTGGGTTTGAAGCTTGGGGCTGATGAGGCGTGGGTGTGAGCTTTCTGCGTACTATAAAGGCTTAAATATTTACCAATCCCTATGCCTCCAGGGACCTTATTATGGGGTCCTTAAGGGGTCTAGGGCCCTAACTATGAGGTCCTTGGAGGGACAGGGAATACTATTGTGAGGATTCCTTCTTGCATTTATTGCATGATATGCACTCCAAAATCCCGACTAACTAACCAACTTTGGTCCAATGCCGGCAGCCCCCAAACCCTCGTTTCAAAAGGAGGGGTAATCTTCTGACATGAATGCAGAAGCGAAGCCAATAGCACGAAGTCTGAGGCAACACTTGCCAACTCATGTGCGCAACCATGAAGGAAAGCAACCAAGCCAAGGGACAACCAGCTAAAGATCTTTACTCGCACACACCTGGCAGGATTAAGGCGCCTGTATAACATGGGGTTCTGAAATTCCCTAATCCCTAAACCCTGAACCCTACACCCCAAACCCCAAGACCTAGAACCTGCGCTGTGAACGAGTTTAGGATCCAGGGGTTGGGACCCTGCCCCCTTGCACCTGAGTCAATTTAGGGTTTGGGGTTCAGGGTTTAGGGTTTAGGGTTTCACCGGCCGGACATCCCAAGGGAGGCCCCAAGCCCTATTTACCCCAAGACACTACAGTACAAGCCCAAAAGTTTGCAACCTAATAGCCTCAATCCTTAAGGGTAATGTATGGGGAATCCCAGCACTTATCGTGTTTTGCTATATGCCATCAACTTTAATCTCCAAGCCACATGGAATGCGCGCTTCCCTCACGATAAGGCGGGCTGCAAAGCGAAAGACCTGGCAGCAGCTCTTCGGTGCTTCGCCAGCAAGCATGACCTTTTGGATGAACACGGGGTCGAACATATAGAAACGTTCTTGCGCGGTAGAGTACGGTTTAAATGTATACAAGGACAAGAGAGATGCAGTATTCCTAACTGTTCAAGAATCATACCAAGGAGGTTTCATATCACAGATTGAATTGGGTGTGTGCGTACAGAGCCCGTCTTGGTGAGGGTAGAATTTGGGTGCGAGTATAGGGGCTGCAAGTGACAACAAACCGTCGGGTGGTTCGAAAAGTTGGGGGATGCAATGATTTGTTCAGAAAATCGGAGTCCAAAGGCTTTTGGGTCGAGGATTTTAGGGCTTTCACAGTTCAGACTTTTGCGTTGAGGGCTGTGAACTTTAATATTCAAAGAAGGTCTCGTTGTATCTACATCATGTCCCGGCCGGGGTGTTGATTCGGTTTGCTGATGATAGCTGGCGAGGCGGCCATGCCAAAGAACAAATGCACGCAAGAGTGTCAGGACTGGGCGAAGACGTTAAGACCGTAGTGATTAATTGGATTCATGTTTGGGCTGCAGGATTTGGAGGGGTTCTCGATTCACAGAAACCTTCCACGTCAATGCTCACCGGTTGCTCACCAAATCCATCTGCAGCAGCAAGTTCGGGGTCGAAATAATTACGTAGTCGGACTTCGCTGACAGACCAAATTTTAAGCATCCGGGTTACCAGCTGACTGTGCTTTGCAATTGTTCCATAGTTATGTAGGTATGGCTTGGCATGGAAAGAGAGTCTGGCTTTCTTAAAATCCTGACAAGCTTGAGCTTTTTTTTCACTGGCAGTTGACAAAAGTCATACTGTTGCTCAGAGCTCCCTCATGACACTATACTTATACATGACAAAACGCTTTTCAACTTCTCAAACATTCAGCCCGGTCGCGGCAGACTAGCAGTAGCGCCCGCACCTAAGGTAGTAGCGAAACATCACGAAAGTCTTTGACTCCACTCCGCCCAGATATTCGAGCTAATCGGCCGGGAGCGAAGCAGATCTCACTGGCGTTCTTCACACATCGCCTGGACCACGCCTTGCGGAATTTGATTGGAAATGCCTGTAGCCTTCTGCGAGCTTTCGGATTCTGGGATATACTGACACAGTCCTAAATCCCAAAAACCCTATTAAACCCCAAAATGGCCCCTAAACCCTTACCTGAACCTCGCCGAAAGCTGTTCGATACCCTGCGAAGGAGCCCGAGAAAGCCGCAGGTTTCGTCACCAAGCTCCTGGATATAAAGATGAATTTGGGAGTTTCCGAAAATGGGGGGTACATTGTTTTGGGGTCCTTATAATAAGGATCCTACTATTTAGGGTACTATAGTAGGGTCCCCCATTTTCGGAAACTCCCATTTAGGGCTTGTAGGGCTGTGCCCATTTAATCGAGCCCTTATGGCCCCTACTAGTGGGTATTTGGGGGTATAACAGGGGCGTTTAGCGTTTAAGGTTTAGGATGGTTTAGGACCATACGCCTAGGGCTTCGGGGCGTAGGGCAGTTGAGATTTAGGGCGGGTTTGCATGGGTTTTGTTTTGGCCGAGTTTAGGGTAGGATTGTCCTCAATCCTAAAGCGTAAAGTAAAAAGGCTTCTGGTCTGCTGGTTCCAGCTGCAACAGCAGTCGTAGCCGAGGAGGAATAGTCGTAAGAACGTTGTAAATAATACAGGGGCCTTAATAATTAGAATAGGGTGTTGGGGCCCATTATGCTATAAATACACTAAGGGACCACCAAATTCGTATAGGTAATTGTTACGGCCCCTGTAGTATGCACATGTTTGTTCATTGGCCGTGTTCATGACATGAGCTCGGGGCTGGAGGACGAAGGCCTGTTTCCTTAACTAGTATGTAGCATTACCTAATAGGATTCTAAATGTGAACCCCAAAAAGGAACTACTTTAGGGCCTTAGGGTAGTATGTAGCTATAGTGCCTGTTTCCTGAACTAGTATGGTTGATAGTGTAAGCCCTGCATTACCCATGATAAGGAATATGCCATAATTCCCATAGCTTAGGGTCATTGAGGTAACGCAGGATTTATATCATCAACAGTGTGTAGCTATAGTGCCTGCTTCAAGAGTCAGACTCAACTAGTAGGCATAACGGGAATTGCGACGCTGGTGGTCGCACCTCGGATCGAAGCCGCTATCGCAGCAAGGTTGGATGATCTTAGATGCACAGTGTAAAAGAGTTCAGGATCTTATAAGGCGGCGACTACACGGTACTGGTATGTCTTTGCCGTAGTTGCGGTGCAGAATTGTATCAGCTGCCCGTGGTCTAGGATTCTAGGACTCATGGCGTCCTGAAGCTCGCCAAGCCCGCAGCTAGTACGGATCCGAATTGCCGCCCTAAACCCCTAAATCCCTAAACCCTGAACCCCTTCTGAAGGTCCTGGAGGACCTGTGTATGCAGATCCAGGCATACCTGAATGGCTACCAGGGGCCGCCGGCCGGCTCCGCGCAGCCGCCTGTGCCCGAAGACTTGCCGTGTGACCGCACTGCTGCTGGGAGAACGAGGCCAAAGCGTGAACGATCCCGCGCGGGGCTATGGCCGCTTCTTTTGAGCATCGAACTCTCGGCCGATGGTGATGGTACCTGGTCCCTGAACTCACAGGTTTCAATCCCCTCTGCGCACGCAGCCGGAGAGGTCTCTATGTGGATGCCCCTGTCTTGTGTTCAAGCATTGACCTTCAGAAAAGAAGGACCACCTGAATCTCACTGTGGAACGTCCGACAACCATGAGCCCTTAGAGCACTAAGCCCGAGCCCTGAAACCACTGATACAAATGCCCCATTATGGCCACTAGCATACTCATATTTTGACCCGAGCCCTTTGAAGTGATCTGCTGCTTCAGATTCTCCAAGATCCTATTGGTCCACAGGTGTTTTCAGTTTGTAGGATCTTGGGGGAGGGCGTGGTCTAATCCGACACAGTCACTTTATGTGTTCCTATTTAGCTGTTATGATCAATCATATGACTGTCCCTCTAGCATGTCTCACATCGTCAGACTCCGAACCATATGCCTCGCCTGGTTTGTCCGAGTGTGAGCGCCGAACCCCAAACCCTTAAACCTCTAAACCCTATTTAAACCCTGAACCCCAAAACCCCCAAACCCTTAAACCCCATATAAAACCCCACACCCCCAAACCCCTAAAAAGACGATGGGGCAGCCGTGAAAAGGAGCTAACCAAGAAACCTAAACCCCCAATCCCCTAAAACCTAACCCCCAAACCCCTAAACCCCTAAGCCCTATATATACCCCAAGCCCCTAAACCCCAGATCTTCCGGACATGAGGTACGGGGACCTGCTCGTCTCAGAGAAGGCGCCAGGGAAGGAACGAGTTGAAGTGAGGTTATACGGGACTGTATAGTATACAATACCATGGCACAGGCTAGTATAGTATAGTGCAGTGTAGTGTAATATAGTATTGTGTAGTATATTATCCTGTAGTATAGTATAGTATATTATATAGTATATTATTGTATATTGTAGTAGTTTATAGTAAATATTAAAGCACATTATAGTCTACTGTAGTATATTGCAGTCTGGTATAGTACATTATATTATGTTATGGTATGTTCTGAATGGTGGTTTTTGGAACATATACATGTGAGGACAGGTAGCGACCGGGGCTTCACGAAGCCAGGGCTTCGGCACCCAAGGTTCAGGAGCATGACAGGATTTAAGGTTTAGGCGGTTTAGGGTTAAAAAAAAGGGATTTAGGAATTTATGCGGTTTAGGGTTTAGGGTTCTGGATGGATGTAAGTTTGGGTGATTTGGCAGATCCTCCATGTACCCTCAAATAGGGGCATTCGGGGTTCAATAGAGGGCAGATACAGGGTCTAGGTAGGTTCGCAGAATCTGTCGGTGCCTGCGGACTTTAGATCCAAAGTCGGGCTTGGCTTGTTTGAGCTGGCAATGGTAGATCAGCAAACCATTGATATTGGAGGAGCCAGGGATGATGATAATCCCTATTAAAACAGGAGCTAAAGAGCCAAGGGAACCCCAAAACCACCGGTTAGTCAGACCAGCATGTTGTGGAAGGCATCCAAAAAGAAACGGGATTTTCTGGCTGTAGAGAGGCAGACCCTGGAGACTTTACCTGTGCCAGAGTTGGGTAACATTTTACATTTTAATGGGTACTTCAACCCAATAAGGAATGAACATTTAAGTCTTGAATACTATCCCAACCATGAACTAGTTACGATGCTGGCACGTTGCAGCAAAGTTGCATGACATGCTTCGATCGTATAGGCAGCAGGTCGATGTCCCAGACCACCCGTCGTGCATGGAGTTCATGCTTTCGGAGCTCCTGAATAGTATAGTATTGTGTGGTCTATTATGGTAGCTGCCAGCTGGGGTCGACACGACTATAGCGAAGTTCCATGCGGGTCTTGAGAAACCGGGTGCATTCGCACAGCTACCCTGACTTGGGTTTGGGGTATTCGGTGTACGAGGGTGTTTAGGGTCCCTGACTGGAGATATGAATGCAACTCTTCACGAGAACCTGAACTGAAGCGTAACAGAAAGTTGCAAAGAGCACAAAGCCATACTCCGAACTATACTGTAGTGTACGATACTGTACTATACTATACTATACCATACTATGCACTCCATGTGAATGAAGGTGCTACGCGCAGACAGATCGAGCTTCCAGCCCTGGCGGGAGGCTACTGATAGGGATTGGCACTTGCGACTCAAGATCCGGCCAGACCCCCCAAGGGCTCTTTAATAGAGTCCTGATGGCCCTTACTAGTGAGTACTTGATGAGGGTCAGGGGGGGGGGGCTAGGATAACCAAGACCCCCCCAAGGGCTTTTTAATAGAGTCCTGATGGCCCTGAATAGTGGGTACTTGAGGTGGGTCATGGGGGGTCTAGGAAGGGAATATGGTCAGCTCATATCCTTGAGAGCAAATCGGCGTTCGGATGTTCACGGTCCCGGCACTTACTCTTCGGGCTTGATTAGGACGGATATCTTGGATACAGGTGTTGCAAGTTTAGGTTCTACTCCAGGACCTGACATTCAGAACCTTGATCCTTCAGTCCCAAACCGAAACCCTAAGCCCGAAACCCAACCCGAAGCCATGGCCCAAACCTCAAACCCCAAAGCCCTCTTCGACCCTGCGAAGATCATTGTCACCACCAAAAGCCCTCCTACACCCTGAACCTTCAGCCCCAAGTGTACTCCTTCTAAATCTCTATAAAACCGTAAAAAAAAGTGTTATAAGACCCTGTAAACCGCAATGAGAATCTTATAAATCACCTTTTCGACTGCAGGAGGCCCAGATCGTTGCGAAAAGAAAGACGTTCTTGGAGAAGACGTCGCCCAGCTGTGGCTATGTTGATTTTTCTTTTCAGGGTTTAAGGTATTAGGGCTACGGGGATTCAGCGTAGAGGGTTTAGGGTTACGGGGGGGATTTATAACCCTAAACCCTAAGCCCAAAGCCATCCTAAACCCTAAACCCCAAAGCCATCCTAAACCCGATTATCTCCCCTAAACCCCTAAAATAAAAGCCAGAAAGTTGGAATATGATTATCCTAACCTTTCTGTGGTAAATTATAGGGTATCCTACCATGAAACCATATTCCAACTGTCTGGAGTTCCCTGTAAATACTAAAGCTATAGGGTGTAGGGTGCATGGGAAGTGTGGATTTCTGGGAGCTCTAGGAGGGCTTCAGTCTGTTCAAGGGCTTCATATGTCGTAGAACGTCTACCAGGACCCCCAAAGAGCCCTATAACGGAGCCCTTATGGTCCCTAATAGTGGGTATTTGGGGTATACTAGAGGCTAGTTTGGGGGTTGGTATTAGGGCCTTACCGTTTGTGTAAGAAGGGTTTTCTTCTTCTCACCGGGTTGTGCAGGCTGGGGAAAGTAGCAGTTTTGCGGTTCTGAACTTTAAGGGGCTTTGAATCCAAGGGTAAAAGGAGGGACCCTTATTAAGGACCCCTAGGTATATACCCTTAATATAGCCATTACATACTCATTATAGAGCCCATTATAGGGTAGGGGTCCCCATTAAGGGTCCCTCCTTTTCCCCTTTGATTGAAGGTCGATGGCAACGGGCTTTTGGCTTGTCGGGATTGGGGGGGTCGTAGGGTCTTAGGGTTGAGGGGTTATATATATATATATATATATATAATGGGTATATGATAGCTATATTAAGGGTATATACCTAGGGGTCCTTATTAAGGGTCCCTCCTTTTACTCTTGGAGTGTTTCGAGTGCTGGGAATTTTGCGCTTTGTGGGGACTTGGATGTGGGCTTTTGTTAGTTGGCGGTTTTGAAGAGGACCTGTATGATCCCCTTCTCGATGGACATTACCTGATCTTGCAGAGACACCGTTGGGTTGAACCTGCGAAGCAGGATTGGGATCTGGTTCGGGGTTTACGGTTGCTGGTAATACATGTGTTAAGGTTTCACGATGTTTCATGTTTCGTGCATTGACTGTAGACTGTCGAGCTTTAGCCGATTCTGTTTCAGTCTCCATTTAGGGATTCGGCGATGCGGAAACATACCGGCCTGAAAATTTGTATTTTGAGATTGTGAGTTATCACGAAAAGCCTTATATAGTCTGCTTCTGAAAGCTCCCATATTATGCCCATTCTAAGGCTGAGGATTTTCGCTCATTGTTTCGACCCGAAAAACTATTGTTCACGGACCCTTCTGGTTTCAGACTTTAGGTTTTACATAGGGTTCAGGCTTTACTGGTTCAGTTTTCGCCCCAATCTTCTAGGCTTCATCCATTTCAGCATCCTCTCCGCGAACTGAGGACGTGCCCAATTCAGCGAGATCTTCTGACCAAGCAGCAGATGAAGGCCCAGCGCTCACTTAAATGCCCAAACCCGAACCCGGGCCCGCAAAACACCTTGATAGAACCCGATTATAGTAAGGCTGATACAGAGTATCCATAAAACACCGTTAGGAATTACTATTATGGCTTAGGGAAGTATCCCCCATAACAGTACATAGGACCCTTTGGGATCTACCCCACAGATTACAACCTCGCTCCAGCGACTCCACACCTGGCATGGCGTTCTTGATACGGCGAAGGGCATTCTTCCTGAATTTATCGAGCCCTTGAGTCCGCAAAGGCCCATCACTCCCCCCCACCTCCACACGCCCTCCCTAAGCCGTAAGCTGTTGCTTTCGAACCCCCCTGACACTAAATTCACGTTTATGCTTGCTGGTTCCGTTCCATGAGATGGGGTCTACGGCCTCGGTGACTATCGGGGCAAGGTTTCTCAACCTTGAAACATAAATCCTAAACCCCAGCCTTTCCCAGATCGGATTACACTATGGAAAATCGTTGTCGCGACTTCGGAAGCCCCTACCTGAGATCCGAACCCAAAACCTTGCAGAACCCTAAACCTTAAGCTAAAGGTAGGATCCTTGCTATAAGAGACCCCACAACGGACCCTGATTTTTGCGAAACCCCGCTTATCAACTTGACACCCAAACTAGCACCCGAAAGGCCTAAAGCCGTACCCCTAAACCATCAAACGCTAAATCCTAAACCTCCAAAGCCCCAGACCCTAACCCAAACCCCAATCCCTAAGCCCAATAGTTACGAGGCCCAGAGACTCCGCAAGAATCTGCTGTCACCCAGAGACTGTTCGGTGGTTCAGGGTATTGATGACCTTGACCCTCCGTAACCCTTCTCCAATGTAACAAAATTGATAAACTCTTCAAGACCCAGAGAGCCCAATACCCCATAATTAAGGAATATAGCTTAAATCATAATATGAAGCCCTATATGATTTAAGCTATACTCCTTAAAGGGTATTGGGCTCTCTGGGGAGCACCTTCTGGGATCCTACAGAGCGACCTTTTGCGGTCTCAGACTGAGAGGGTTCTACAAACCCTGAAATGTTAAACCCTACTTGGTGGGCCATGGGTATGTTATAAGGGTTCCTTTTAAGGGTCCCTTTAAAGGGGTCTATAGGGACTCTATAAGGGTTTAGGGTTTAGGGCCGACTTGGACGTTCATGGGTAGTTATAAGTAGGCTTATAAGTCCCTAATAGGGCTTGTAACTATGGTTACCCTGCTTATAACCCCACATAACTACCCATGAACCTCCAAGTAGGCCCTAAACCCTATACCCTTACAGAATCCCTATAGATCACTTTAAAGGGGCCCTTAAAGGAACCCTTATAACTGCCTCCAAAGTAGACAAGCAGGGAGCCGTTTGGCCCGAAATCTCTCTTAGGTCCTCCTTTTTTAAGGGTTCCTTTAAAGGGGTCTTTAAGGGATCTATCAGAAGGGTCTATGATATAGGGGCCCTTCATAATTAGAACTTTCTCAGGTCCTCCTGGCCCGTGAGAAGCGGGGTCCGGCAGAGGCTGCAGCTTTCAGGGTTTCCGTAGGGCTTGAGGGGTTCAGGGGTTTAAGGTTTAGGGATTTAGGGGTTTTGGGGTTTTAGGCTTTAGTGGTTTAGGGTTTAAGGGGTTTAGCCCATGCTGAAACGGGTTTAGGGGCTCCGGGTGCAGGGGCAGAGGCTGCATTTCTCAGGGCTCGTTTGAAGGTTTAGGGAATTTTTTGATGGTGTGTTTAATGGAAAAATAGGTTGGGTTTTGGGACTCTTTTGAGGCTTTAAGGAGAGTGGGTGGAAAAAGCTTGCGGTCACGAAGGCATTGTTTCGGACTTTGGTCGTTGAGCTTTGCGCGTAGGCTTTGGTTTTTTGAAGTCTGGGTTAGGGATAACTGTGAGCGTGTGTAAGCGAGTTGGGGTGTCAGGGCTTTCGGTTAAGGTCTTGGGGTTTGGGCTGTCGGGGGCTGTCGAAGGGTGTTCGCAGGCTGTTCCAGGCGACTAGGTCAGAGGTGTGGCTTTTAAGTACCTACATTGGGGTTTCTGTGCCTAGAACTTTCCTTTTATCCTACCTACTACGTCACCAGGATAGTCGAAGTTGTGCCCCAACATCCCAAACTGCCACCAGGAAACCTGGCAGAAGTGCTTTCTTGTAAAGTTGCGCCGCTGGCGGAAGGGAACGCTCCATGCCGCCCGGCATCAAAGAGAGAGCTTGCCGGAGAGTCTAGATGAGCCTAGATTCTAGATTTTAATTTTATCTATCTACCTATCTAAGTCTATCCGTCTTCCTCTCTATCTATTTATCCAACGTTTTCCTTAGCTTTGTGTCGGTGTATGTAAAAAATTTATATGACTACATCTCTCTCCCTCCGACTCTCTCTCCCTCTCTCTCTCTCTCTCTCTCTCTCTTTCTCTCTCTTTCTCTCTGTATATATGTATACATGTATAATGCAAATACATATTTATGTATATATGTATGTATGTACACCTCTCTCTCTCTGACTTACAAAGTCCCCGGATCCGCTACACAGCCTCGGATGTTCGGCTGACTTCGGGCACTTGCTGACAGAAGCCCTCACCAAGCCCTGCAATCCGAAATCTCTCAGAACCTCAGAAGTCTTAGTAGCTGAGTGAGAAACTTCTACCTTCTTGGGGGTTTAGGGATTTAGGGGTTTAGGGTCTAGGGTTTAGGGCTTCCTTCAGTCTTCGTAGCTAAGTGGGGAGCTTCTACCCTCTTGGGGTTTACGTAATCCTACAAGGGTTGTCAGCCCCTAAGGACTTTAACAATCCTAAACCCTTTGTCAACCTGTCTATCTCTGGACTCGGGAAGCCCTGGCGTCCTCAGCTTTCTTTCGAAAGCCTTTCCGGTTTAGGGTTTAGGGTTTAGGGTTTAGGGTTTAGGGTTTCAGTCCCAAATCTGGCATCGGAGAGCACCTCGCAAACAAAAAACAACTAATGCCTACAGGAATGTCAATCTCTGCAAAAGCATTGGCTTCAAAGGGTGGGGGTCCTGGTTGGATTCGTATCGGCCTGAATCGATGGAATAAGGCCGGAAAACAGGTTACACCCAAGGTTGCTGGCCGAACGGCAGCACCAAGTATTCAGGCTGCTGTGTATACCCCGTTGAAAACCCGTACAAAACTACAAGCTCAAAACCCTTGTCAGCATATGAACTCACGCCAAACCGTTATGGAGTCCCTGTACTATACATCAAAAGAGCTGTCCCGGCATCCACACACCTAGAAAAAATATCTATGCCTATCTCACTAGCTGTTTTCTAAATCCGACCCTTACAAATCCTTGTTAGAGAAATCCCAAGGAGCGGAGTTGTCTGGCGGCCGACATCCCGAAGGAACCCCTTTGCTTCCGACTTCGCTGTTGTTGGGTGATTTCCAGGGTCTTGGGTTTGGGTTCCAGCTGTTTGATGTTGATTTTTGGGCTTTTGTTGGGTGTTCTATAAGGGCTCGGTACTGTAGCGGTCGAAAATAACTAGCAGCGTGTTCCTGTATAGCCCCTGCGCAAGTATTTATACCTCAAACCCAAGTCTTATTATCACGCCTGTGCCTTCAATCTTACACACTAAGCCAAGAACCTGAATCCCTTAAATGGTATAAGGGGTTAGGGCTGTAGAGGTTCTAGGGTTGAGGGTCGAGGGTCTCAGTCGTCGGAGGCTGCCCTCCCCAAACCCAGAAAGAAACGAAAACGGTGGCCTTTGGCACATGGTGTGTTTTTGGCCCGGAAGAGGAAGTTTGAGTGTCGACACTACTTTAGACTTTAGGAAAGGCCAGTTAAATTTTAGGGCTAAAAGACGGTCGAGGCCATTCCTTCCTGAAGGCTCGAAGGACGAGAGCGTTAACGTCACACGAAAGTTTTTGCTGTGCATACAATAATTCTTGCTTCACTAGACGATTCGACTGATTCCAGGCGTGCCTTAGACCCTAAACCCCTAAACCAGCAGTTGGGCTCTGAAACTATCTTTGCGCAGAGGTGGTTGTCCTATTATGAGATTATGAGTTCTGTCTGACAGCATGCCTGTTGACTGAATCTACTCAAGAGGTTGGTACACGAACTCGACGTACCTACTACTGCAGACCTGTCCGAGTGCGAGTGTCAGAACCCTAAACCCTCAAACGCCCAGCTCCCGATGTCACCCTTGCATCGCGGAGAGAGAGTACACTGCATCCTCGCCAGGCGCTTTGAATATTTATTGATGTGGGTACTAACCTACTATTTAGGTAGCCGGAGCCCTGTTTAGGGCTGCGTAGTTTATCCCTTGGGGTGTTATGGCCTTTCATTTTGGTGGCTCGAGCAGTCCTCAGGCTGTCTTGGTTGTTCCAAGGCGAGCTGTTACGGTTTAGGGTTTAGGGGTTTCTGGTGATATCAAGGTTTGCTACTTGGAGGTTCATGGCTAGATTTGTAAGTGGGGCTATAAGTGGGGTAACTTTAACTATATCAAATTACAACCCTTATGACGAGACTTATGGCTACTTATAACTACCCAAAAACCTCCAATAGTAGTGCACCTCCGCCAGCATCCTCGCTCCTGGAATGCACTTCGGGTAGATAGTCGCGGTCGCCGGTTTGCCATATGCGCCCTCGAAACCCAGCCTTAGTACCCGGCAATCTAAGATCGCAAAGTCCCAACCATGTACTTATTTACTGTATAAACCCCGTCTCTACAGCCAATCCTTGGATCCAAGAATGCTGAAGACTATCTCAAACCGAAGCGTCTACGCCGACGCGTAAGCGAGCGCTCACTGGAGGACTTTTTCTTGCACCGGCTGGAGACTTCGGACGACTTCTTGTCCAAGATCCTTGGCAGGAAGTATCTTGCAAGGTGGTTTCTAGAAACCTGGGGCTCTTGTTCTTGGGTTTTGTTGTAGTTTTATGTATGTATGCATGCAGGTATGTTTTCTGATCGGTCTTTCTACGCAGTTATCTATCAGCCTACTTATTTGTTTTCCACATGTCAATGTGTTATATTTGTTGATACATATTTGTTTACATCTTCGCATGCATGCAAAACATACATACATGCTTCTCCGCGCCCGGCAAAGAAATGCCTCGCATTGATACATACATGCATACGTTTAAGGCCGACAGACACACACACACAGACAGACATACCCACCTTTGTAAATAGATATCAAGCTACGTACATAAAACTACATACATGCATTCATGGATGCACAGGGGCCTCGACACAATAATAATACATGCGCATCTCTCGGGTCTGACTGCTTTGGCAGGTTCGGCCGGGCTTTAATTTCCACTGATGCCGCAGAAGAGTGAGCCTCCGGAGAATCCGGACGCCAGTGTTAATGAGACGCGAAGGCAGAAAATGCATCTTTGAGCCTCAATCCGTGATCCTCCGATTGAAAAGATCAAAGGATGTATTCCCGCCGAAACCCTCAATCCCCGAATACCGATGCGCAAAATCCCTGACAAGACCACAACCTAAAGCTCTGAACCCTGAAATCCCATCTTAAAGCCCGAAACCTTCATGGCCCCAAGAGAGCTTCCGTCTTCACCGTTTGCAACCAGCCAGGTGTCAGGGCACTATGGCAGCAGAGATTCGGGTCTAGCTAGGGGGCAATTGCTCCAGGCATTTAGACGTGTATATATAGAGTTTACAGTTTGGGGGTGGAGAGGTTGTGAGGGCTTTGCGAGGTTCAGGGGTTGGTGAGGGGGCGGGTTGAGTGGAGGGTGTGGCTGGAAGAGCTGCTGTGAGGCCTTGCCTATTGATCGTTTTCGGAAGACTTGCTGTCCTTACTCTTGTGGGTTCTGAGTTCTGGGAACTGCAGCAGAGTGCCTTAACATGAGCAGTGATATGTTTGGCCTGGTTTGCAAGCTGCGCACATTTATGGTTGTTGGTTTTTGTTGGGTCCGGGCTTAGAGACTACTACCACGGAGCTTGCCACGCACTACAGTATAAAACCTAGGCAAGGGGAGGGCACGCTAAACCCAGTACTGCCGAAACTGTAGAGTTTTTCACCATAAAGCCCAGAAATCCAAAACCTAAATCCAGGTAACCCCAACCCTTAACCATAAAACCCAAAAATCCTAAACCCTAAGCTCTGAAACCCTAAACCCTAAATCCAGGTATCCCCAACCCTTAACCAGAAAGCACAAAAATCCTAAACCCTAAACCCCAACCCCCTCCCGTGGGTTTCGCCGACCTTAACTGCTAGGTGGAAAAGGCAGTTAAAAAAGCAACCCCCTGATCTAAAATTACCCCCAAAACCCGTGCTGTTGCCCCGGTGCGCTGCGGCCTGGTAATTCGATTATTTTATGGGAGATTCCTGCGAGCTACTTGGAGGTTCAAGGGTAGTTATAGCTGGGGTTATAATTCCCCGAATGGGAGTTATAATAGTAGTTGCCCTACTTGCAACTCCACGTAATGAACCTCCAAGTATGGGGATCGACTAACTGCAAGCTCCAGAGAGTAGGCCGCTGTGTGCGCGCGTAGGGTATACGAAAACCGTGACTGTGAAAACGCACTGCACCCTTGGTACCTTTTCCACCCACAAAACCGCACAAAACCGCTCCCCAGTATGCTTGTCATCGCAAAAGCCACCACCATCTTGACCACCCTCACCTTCATTAACTGGATGCCCAACATCAGCACCTCAGTCGTCATGGTGATACAGAAACGTTGTCACCATCAACATGCATCACCGACATTGTCATTGTCCTTTCGTTTGCTGCCATTGTCATCACGATCATCAACATCCTTGTTATCTTAAAACAGCTCATCTGGGCGGAATGCATATGTGACAGTGTGCGCTCGGACACCTACACTCTCGAGCTTGTGTACATGTCGAAGAAGTAACGACTGCCGAGCACATACAAGTGACAGGCAGGGTGGTGCCTTTGCGGTGTCCGCTGATGCCCAATCCTAGGCAGGGAGCAGAGCTCCTGCGCCTGGTTCCAAGACCCTCCAAGGACATCATTGGTTTGCTTCTTGCATGACAACTTGTTTCAGTCATTGTTGAAATCTGCGGTTTTCTGTTGATGTGAACATGCGATGCCAGAGCCGACCTTAAGTAGCGGGATCTTAGAATCATTTAATCACTTCAAAATACAAGTACGAGGTTTTACATCAAAGAAGCCCCCATGTCTTTGCACACATGCAAAACGCACCTCGTTGGCCACAAGCCGAATGCCCTAAACCCTTACCTATGTCGAATCGGAATAGATAGTCACAACTTGTCCTGTAGTGTCATATATAGGTATACTATGACATACCACCAAGACCCTATCTGAGGCTCCCATACTGAACCCTTATAGTCCTTGTAGCCTTATAGTTACTTCATAAATAGTACCCCTGATAGCAACCGAGGGGCCCTTTCAAGAAACCCGGGAGCCCTTGCATTACCCGCGGATGTCCGCAAGGTCATAGGGACCCTTAGGGGGGAGGGGGTGGGGGACTATACTTCCCTAAATAAGCCTCAGTGAAGTCCTTGCTGAAAAAAAGCCTTATTAAGTCCTTATCATCGGAATTAAGGCCCCCTACTCCCCCCCATACCCGCTAAGGGTCCTTATGACTTAAGGAAAATGGAGCCCTCAAACCTACTTGGAGGTTCATGGGCAGTTAAGGTGACTACATGAAATCAAGCCCGGGTCAAGGCACCCAAGCCGCAGAGCGGACCAAGAACTGCAACCTGGACCTCCCCAGTGTCAAAGGGGAGAAGGAGGGACCCTTAATGGGGACCCCTACCCTATAATGGGCTATATCATGGGTATATACATATATATATATAGTGGCTATATTAAGGGTATATACCTTATACCTAGGGTCCTTATTAAGGGTCCCTCCTTTTACCCTTGGATTTTTTGTAGTCCTAAGTTCCTAATAAAGTTAACCATTACCAAAAAGGGAGCCCTTTGTATTCCTAGGTTACTGGGCATCCTAGGAACAGGGTTCCTTCTAGGATTACTGTAAGGGTTGCTATAAGGGCTATATAAGGTCTTAGTAGATGGGGCCTTGACTATTAAAAACGGGATTGGGGTAATTATAGTGTACCATAAACTACACTAAAGCCTATAACGCCACATGATGCACTGCCAACTGTTCCGAAATCCATCCCGCTATGCATTTTTGGAACACTAGATGGAACAGAGTTCCTTTGGGGGTTCCTTCAGACAGTTCGTTCATCTGAACCAGATCACAGCCGGTTTTGAGGTAAGGCCAGGGTTTAGGGTTTCGAGTTTAGGCTTAGTGTCTCAGGGTTCAGGGATGATGACCTGAGTTGCCACGTCTTTTTTTCCGAGCAATGTTGCCGCATATTACCGCGTTGTGACTGCTCTTAGACAGATGGGCACAGGGCATTGGGATTCTACCCTACGGTTTAGAGTGTAGGGTTTAGGGTTGATTTCCAGCTTCGAAGACAGATCTTCACTGCTTCGGGAACTGTCAGGTGTCGGGCGGGGAAATGGGCCCTCACCTTGTCCCCCGCATTTTAAAGCCTTGAACCCCACCTACACATCCACACCTTAAACTTACATTTTCAAAACCTCAACCCTAAACCCTGAACCCTAAATCCTAAACCGTGACTTTTCCCTCAAACACTATGGCCTGAACTCCGAACCATAGCGTTGTTCTTGGGTACCCGGAGCCTGGGCAGAGTTGCGTCTATCGACTTCCAAGAAGCTCGAGTCGCACAGTTTAAAAAGCCATTCAGGAATTTTGACATCGCTGTATGACGATTTTATCCGGGTTGTATAATGTTCGGTTTCTGGGATTCAAGCTTAAGTTTGGGGTTGTGGGCTTATATAGGCCTTCGAGAACATCCCTCACAGAAAGAGGCCCACTCAACAAACCTTGCTAACCAGTAATCCGAACCTTCCCACCTGCTGAACTTTCCGGATTTAGGCCCCTAAACCCTAAACCCTAAACCCGGGCATTGCTAGGGTTATTATTCGGGTATCTACACTTATAATTACTCATAACCCCAATTAGGGTACTTATCATCTTGGAGCTGGATCCGAGGAGGTATGCGGCAGAGTTGGAAGAGCGCAGGCAGATGTCACGCTCAAGGACGCCACACAGGGAGAAAGTTCGGCACAAGACAGCCTCCTCATCGACCCCCGTCACTCCAGCATCCGAAGGACCTGAAGAAATGGCCCTATTCCAACTTCCCCAGACCTATGCCAGGCAATGGGAACTACTCATGGAGACATTCTATGATTGGTTCGAAGAGGGCAGGGCAATGAACATGTTGGTGAGGATGCTACGGCACCGAGTTCGGGCACGACGAGACGAAGGGTTCAACCAGTGGGCTGCTGGACCCCTCCAAAGTGTAGCCCTGGGCATCCCTTGCAGCGAGGGTGAAGATGACTCTACCTCCCCGCAGGTCTATGTGGAATGGGTGACACAAGCTGAGGGCATCCTATGGAACATCTACCAGCGGGACACGGTAAGGGCTGAGGAGGCGGAGGCATCTCCGACAGAGGATGTGGTCAGCCTGATGGACAATGCCAATAACCGGTACAGAAACGGGAGACGAAGAATAAGGGACTCCCGGACGCCTCGAAGGTCCACCCGCGCTAGTGGATCAGGAGGAACAGCCCGACCGCGCCGAGAACTGCGTCGAGACGGACAGCGAGACCGGCAAGTGGGGGGACGAGGCAAGGGAGGGTCAGCTACGTGTACGGCGTCGACAGGGGATGGGGACTATGTCACCATCACACTGGAGGAAGGACCGGAGGCGGCACCAGAACCTTCCTCTGGGTCAAGGGGGCCCAAACCTACATCCAGGAGGTCAACGGACTGCGGGGTTCCAAATGTCTCTCGGCCTATGACTCAGGATCAGTCTGTGAGAATGTGGAGGTACCTACTCTTTGACAGAGACACCTTTGCCACACCGGGCCGGACCTCCAAGGTTCCGGACAGTTTCCTCCCGCAACATATGCTGAGGGAGGTGAGTGCTACACATGAAGCTATGTGTCCGGCTAACCGTCTGCAATCAACCGTGGCCCTTGTGACGATCATCCGATACCTCATGGCGGAGTTGGCGCAGACACTGGACATGGCAGAGGCTTTGGCAAGAACGAGAGAGGGCACGGCAGAGGTGACGGATATTGAAGGAGAAGAAGACGGGGACCACACAGGGTTGATGCAACAGTTTCTGGAAAAGGACCTGTCCGCCTCGCCAGCACAGAGATGGGCCAGGGCAATGCTACGACTTCAAAAGGAGTTGTCGGGACAGTCAAAGGCAGCTCGGCTTCAACATGTTCGTCTCCTGCGAGTTGGGCTTGGTGGTCCTGCGAGCACGGCATGCCCCTACCGA